TCCAATTTTTGCAAAAAATTGTTGAAGTTTCCAGTAGGTGACCTATAAATAGCTAATATGATCAATGTGATACTAGTCAGGCTTAATTTGATTGCACAGGCTTCGATGTCCTTTTCCACACAGTAGTTAGACACAGATACAGAATCAAATTTAATTGAGTTATAAATATATATGCATACACCCCCATCTTTGTATGTTGATCTACAATAATTGGCCCCTAATACATAATTATCTACACATATTTTATTTATTTCATATTCTTTTAAATGATGTTCAGTCAAACATATTATATGAGGCGGGTCAGGTAAGAAGGAATTTAACAGTTGTTCGGTTTTATCAAATAAGCCTCTTATATTCTGATGACCTACCTTCAGGAAATGAGATGTAGATTGATTAGTTTTCCCTTGATTTGAGTTGCTAGTATTTGAGTTAGCAGCCTGTCCATTATGATTTTTGCCACAATTTTTATCTCCTCTTGTAGGGAAATTGTGAGCTAAAGCCAGATACTTATTTATATTTGGTTCATACCTTAACCCTCCCATAAAAAATCCTCATTTCTAGTTGGTGGTCTTCTTTTTCTTTTGATACAGTGAAGAGGTTCCTGGTCAGGCATTGGGCCTTGATGATCCTTATAGTTGTTAACTGTACTTGTCTCCCAATATGATGCTGTTTGTGTCACCTCTTCCATCTTCCTGAAGAATTTCTTCAATTGTGTCATACACTTTTTCTACTTCTTCATCTTCATACTCTGATGTTGGCATGTACACTTGCATAATCAGTATATCTACCGGTTCCTCCTTTAACTTCAGAGCAATAATTCTGTCATTACAAACAATCTTCTTAACAAAACTCCTCATTACACTTTTATGCACCACTATTGCCACACCTCTTTCAGCCCATTCACCTCCGGAATAATACACTGTATAATCACCACTTCTTATTTCACCTTGTCCTTTCCACCGCACTTCGCTGACACCTAGAACAGACACTTCATTCTTCTGCATTTCTGTTTTCAAATTCTCCAATTTGCCTGCTTGATTCAAGGTCCTTACATTCCATGTTCCAATCTTGTAGCGATGATGTTTCTTCTGGTCTTCGCACTTTTTCGTGTTGTAATGCCTACATGACATTTCCTCAAGAAACACTCCCCCCCCCGGAGATCCGATTTGGGGAGTAGTTTAGTTCCAGATTATTTTGTCTACAGAGGAAACATCTCGCATACATGGTATCTCTGTTTTTGGAAAGAGACTATCCAGGAAAAGTGATAATATGGTAGTTTTCCATTTGCTTTCCACATCGCAGTACAGCAGCCACTCAAACCACTCTGGTCACGCCTGTTGCTATACGAACTTGAACCATCTCGAGCATCATTTGTTCTGTGCTTCAAGTCACTACTGATGACGCTGCTTCTGGCATCATTTTGTGGTGTCTCTCTTCGTCTGATGCCTACCCTTTGACCTGTCCAGCAAGGGAGGCCCTGCTAGTAGCTCTGCTACCGCTGGTATAGCTCTCAGGGTCCTTGGCATACTCAAACACCTCTCACCACGATAAGGTGGAGACACCAACGAGGGGGATGAACACCATAAGTGGTACATTTTGAACTGGTCTGAACAGTACCGAAATAAAGTTCACAAAATTTTGTACTTTATGTATGTACCTACTTTGCAGTATTATTTTCTGTTTTATGATAGTTAAAACAAGCACAAGTTTTCATTGAGTAATTATTTATGAAGGTACTCAGTTCCATCAGATTTTAATCAAAGATCTACTATTTTTGTTGTAACACATTAACATTTTGTAACAAGTGAAACTTCCTTAAGAAATGTTACCTCTCCATCAGTCAATCACTGATTGCTAAATGTTGTTAGTCACTCATTATACAGTACTAACATACTAGCCCTTGAGCGTGGGGATTTAAAAATCGCTTTCGTGGTGCCTCCGGCGGTATTACTTTTTAGTTGGCCATTTAAATTTTGTGTCTAAATTATATTAATTATCATAGCTTTTGAACTATATGAGATATAATTATGAATTTTTCACTGAAATAATCTTAAAAGATGGTGTTATAATCTTACCTGATAATATGGCCGCCCTTTATCTCAACGATGGAAGCAAGTTGATTAGAAGTGGAGTTGTGTGTGGTATTTCTTAAAACATTCATCAAAACACATCGCTGCTTCACAATCACTACACCAATAAACAGTATCCTTCCTTTTGCCTTGTCTTGAGCACACGACACATCTTCTTTGTGGCTTTGCCTTCTTTCCTGTGGCTGGAATCTTCTCCACAAAATGCCGTTCTGTGAGTCTTTTAG